GCCAGTGGAGTCTTTATATGCATAGAGACACACATACAAATTTGAGTGTTTTCTTATTAACTAGCTGGAATATAAATCCATAAGAAAAAAAGATCAAATGCATATTTAGGACACTTTGACAGAAAAGCATTACTTCACTTTGATCCTCTCCATACCAGAATAGGCAGCTGAATCCAGTTTTCCATTAAAAATGCTATTTTCTCACCAGTAAGAGAAGGAAAGAGCACATGTATTGTTTTCTCGCTTGAGAGCTTGTTGCCCTGCTCTTAAAGTACATAAATACCTATGGCTGCAGATGAAGCACGCATTTACATATGAACATAATTCTTTGCACTGTAGTTAGGATGCCTCAGTGGGAACTGGAAGAGTTTGGCACACATTGCTCTGCCAGTGAATGTTCAACGAACCTCAGGTAGTTGCTGAAATGCTGAATTCTGCAAGAAATCAAAGCAACAAAATGTTAATCGTGAATGTTAAGTCATGTTTATGAATCAGGCCCTATTGCCCTTTGAAAGACTGATTAAGGAAGTTTTGTTACTCTGTCTTCCAATTTGCTTTGAGGTCCATTTTGAAACTGTGGAATACCTCAGAATCAGGTTTAGTTAATTGTATGTAAGCAAATGAATCCCCTTCAGTTTTTCTTTCTCTCTCTCATACTTTCTGTAAGAAAAGATAACCTTTAGAAGATGTCATCACATTTCAGTTGTGGCGGTAACACTGTAATTTCCTATTAGTAAAAGTAATAGTGACTAGTTTGGTTTGGTTTGGGGTTTTTTTCCACTTAGCCCCAGCGTGGTTTAGCATTATTAATCGACTTAATTAACTGCAGTGAAATGCTGATAAAAGAGTATCTTCCAGCCTTAGTGAAACAAAACTGGAATATTTCCAAAGAAGGTAGAGATAGAAAAGAAAAATATGTGTTTGACTTGACTAGATGGGAGAAGCATTTTCACCAAAGGAAAGAGGCATTGGTTAATCCTCTGTAAAAGCTCAGATCAATGACAGTAGTTCTTCAGTACTTAAAGGACTTAAGAGGTGCACAGTTATTCCTTTTTCAGTGCCATGCCCTGAGTAACTTTCATCACTTCTTTAATAAGATAGTCTTACTCAGAAAACACTTGTATTGCTGAGGCATGAGTTGCAGTGACTGTTTAAACACAAAGCTAGATGGAGTAATAATCTCAAAACATTAGTGAAGTCAGTTTTGGTCTCATGTGTTCTTAAAATGCTATGAATCAGTCTTGGGTTGTACATATTCCCGTAAAACCACAGAGCTACTAGAATTTGTCCTTGCTGTAATCCATATCAGTGTAAATATTATCACCATATAAATAGAGAACTATTGTTTACCATCACTGCCAGTGACTCATTAGAGTGAAGCACTTGGTTAAGTAATTAAGAAACAGTTCTAAGCAATGAGCAGAATTTTCACTTATTAGTTAAGAATAAAGTCTCAGTGTAGCTAATTAAATCTCAGTTTAGCAAGAATATAATTGATTAAAGTGATGGTAGCCACCTACTCTGTAATCTCTCCCTCATCATTAGCAATATCATAGAGATATCTACCTCACCATTCCCTTTCCAGGGCACCTGCAGGAAATACCCAATTCTCATTGCTTTTCACTTGGGCTTAGTACAACTGAGAGTTCTTCTCACTTTTTGAAGTGAATTCCTAGAATGGCCTTTCACACTGCACTGCTTTTGAGAATTTTCAAGTAACAATGTTCCTACTGCTTCAGATAAGGCAAATCAGGGAGATGCTTGTCTTGGGGAAATAAGATATTTTGTTAATGAAATAGAAATTCACTTTTAACTAGCAATGGAAATGGAAAGAGATCAGAGGACTTGCTATAGGTAACTCTCTTCAATGAGAAAAATATGTTGAATTATAAAACTGGAGCTCTAGATTTCAGTATCAATAATTATTCATTAATTTCCCATTAATTAGAACACACAGCAACTATCCATAGACTTCATAAAAATCAAAGGCTCTTTGAGACTTTACAGTAGACTGAGACCTCCATGAAAATAGTATTTCCATTATCTAAACTTTAGCAACCTGACTATAAGTCACTGTAAAAAGGGTAGAAAGATAAAATGCTGAAGAAAGATATTCAAAACTTGTCAAATGGAGCGCTTCTAATGAAATTTTTGCAATTCTTCTAAACAGAGGGAGCAGCTCAGTCACTGTGTGGAAAACTGTTGGGGTCTTCTTGGGACTGAGAGCACTGAGTTAGAAAATACATTTAAACCATATTTGTTTCCTTTTTTTTTTTTTTTCCCTTCTTCTGCTTTTCCATCATTTGACTAGGAAAATTGAGACTATTTTTTATGTCTTCAGTATGTAGCATGTTTAAATCTATTAATTTTGAGACAGCAGCAATCAAAGAGTAATTGCTTTCTTAAGCATAACATTTCCTTTGGATTTTTTTTTCTTTTCTGCCCAAACTCTGTTCTGCAATGTTCCCTTTCTTTTCCCTTCTCTTTCTCCTCTACTTTTCTTTTGTAACATTTCTTTCTTTCTCATGAAGAATGATTTTAGTTTCTTTTTCTGTCTGCTCTGCTAACATGAGTGAGGATGTCACTCTACTTGCCTCTGTAGACTGATAGTAGGCAGTGTCTTCAACAGGATTTCTTGAGCATGTTGCATTATTAGTCAGATAAGCATATGGAAAAGGATCATCAAGCCAGCATGTCTTGTCAGCTTCAGATGCACCTGGAGAGTAGGACAATACTTGCCTTTTTTATTTTTTTTTTTTTTTTTTTTTTTAAATGAAATATGTTCCTGTGAATTGTATTCACTCAGGGCCGTTGAACTATTTGTTCTTGTTGCATTGTCACTCTGGAGTTTAAACTATTAAATTCTGCAGCTGTACTGTGATCCTAAGTGAACTTCCCAGTCTTTGTATATAACCGAGTTTAGGTTTCTTGTGACAAACAACAGTTATTATTTCTCAGACGACAGGTGTGAGGGGAACTAAAATTCTGCAATGGCCTCTATTGTGTAGCTGCATTGCATTCTGATAAGACAGAAGATAGTCCCACATTGATCAACCCTGTTATACACTCGTGACAGAAACACTATGCAAAAACTTAAGTCAGCAAGAGACAAAGAAATTAACTTAAATTTGTGGAGAGAGGATGCTGCCTTTTTGTTTGTTTGTTGTTTTTGTTTTGTTTTTTTTTAAGACCATGTCTAGTAAACTTGTTTATTCCCTGAAAATCAAGATATATAGATTTAAATGAATTGAGCACAATGGCTTCACAGAATGGCTCCTGTTCCTTGTTGGGCAGCTGCTAGCCAGAGAACACAAAGCTGTAAAAAACCTGTAAAATATGGAGGCTTCAGTGTTTGACTGTTCTTTGGTTTCTGATGTCCTTTTCCTGCCTTTCCTTTTTTTGAGAAAGTTGGAAAGTAGGTGAGAGAATCTTAAAAAACAGTGCACCCAACACTGGCTTTCCAGCTATGGCTACCCTGTGCTGCAGCTGCACATTATGACTGACGATTGCAAAGGGAGAGCAGATGCTGGTCCTTTTTTTCCCCAAGCTGTCACCTAAACTGTCTTTTCATAAGGCTGAATGTGCTGGACTGAAGAATTCAGACTGAATTTGCTGTACTTTTAGCAATTCTGCAATATTACAATGGGATTGTCAAACCCTTACAGAAGCTCTTGGAGGAACCTTTGGTGGCGTTCTCCTTTTGTGCTCTTACAAATAGGTGCGTAGGTGGAGGGAATTGAAAAGTCTAGGAGAGAGGCAGAGTTATTCTGTGTATGCCAGTGGGTTAATTATCTTTTGGGTTTTTTTGGTCTTGACCTTTTTTCTCTACTTTATTGGCAGACACAAAGTTATCAGTAGTGTATTGTAATGTAGATCAAGAATCATACCTCTGTTACGGGAATATGAAACTTTGATTAAGAGTGATTTCAGACACTATCTGCCATTTCAAAATCAGACTTGCAGCAGATGCAGAGAAAAGAATGAAATGTGAAATACTTCTTCTATGGATTCAGACTGAAGAGTGATGTTGAACTGGAAAATGAATTGTGGTCTTCTGTTTAGCAATCTCTGTCTTGCTGTCCACTTCCGTTCCTTGTCTCTTCTGAACAGAACACTTCTGGTTCAGCTGTCACTTAAATACCTATTTCCAGATCTGAATCAGATGCTATAGCCATGCTTTTAAACTCATCTGAATTTTTATTCTAGTATTATAGGTTGTGGTTTATTTTTCTTATCCACTTCACTGACAAATCCACAACCTTCTCTTTCTTCTGGGCCCCTTACAGAGCCACTCTCATCTTTGACTTTGTAACCTGTTTTCTGCCAGCCTTTCTCTCTATCTCACAGTATTACAGAATATATTTTAGTGTTTCATTCTTCAGCCAATGGCCAGTCCCATGCCACTTCTCTTCCTCTGTACCTTTAAACCTATAATAGCCTCTGTGCTTTCTGTTTCACAGCCTTGTTCTTTTATGGAGCTTGCTCCATTACTCATTATCTTTATCTGTTTTCTGCTGCTCACCTCTGCCCAGGCAGCCTCTCAGAAGCTGGAGGCTGGAGATGGCAGAATAAAAATAATTTTACTAACAAACCATAGTTAGGGTATGTGAAAGTACTTTTCTCAGGTTTATTTTCAAATGGTAAATTTGTCTGAACTGTGAAATGAGACAAAAATTGGTGTTGCTCTAATCTGCTTGTGGTGATTCTGCTCAAACAGTCAGATAGCCTATGCTAAATCTGCAGTGATTATTTGCTGGTTAGGGCTAAAAATTCATTTTTGGGGGGCTAAAATCTTCCTTGCAACTAACGAAAGAAGGAATAGATCGAGCCATTTGTGAACATGCAGGAAGCTCCTCAGGGACCATCCTTCCATGTAAAGACTGGAGCAGTGGAAGTAGGTGTCTACTTCTCCTCCTTCTTTCCGATTTCTGTATGTCTTTGGGCAACTCTTTCTGTGATACACACTTCCATGGTTTCTTGAGATTCTGAGTCAAAGTTTCTCTTCAACCTGCGACTCTTCAGTGACATTATGGAGAAAATAATAATAATAAAAAAGTTTACTTGTTATCAGTGCTGGCCTCACTAGCTTTAAGTTCATCCAGGATTCTTAAACCGCACCATTAGCTTCAGAGAGTATCCTGCACATCCAAATCTGTTTTAATAAGCAGTTGGTACAGACAGGAAAAAATAGGCTTTTGGCTTGTGAAGAGGTTAGATCAGATAATCAGAAATCTAAATCTCTGTTTTGTTTCTAATAGGGCCTTCTGAAGAAATGTTACTCTGCTGAGGCTGCATACCTGTTCCAGCAGGACAAGTTCTATGATGTCAGCTATGACACTGGTGACAAGTCTATTCAGTGCAGCAGACGTCCAGATGCATTCAAATTCTGGCTGATGTGGAAAGCATTGGGAACAACAGGCCTGGAGGAGAGAGTAAACAGGGCACTGGCTTTGGCAAGGTACTGCCTCTCAATTTTGAATACATCTACTCTTGTCTAATTCGCTGAAGTGTTGACGCTGCTGATACTCCGTATCCTGGAACAGATCACCTTGTTACTTCTTTCCCCTCTCCTTTTGTTTGTGTATAATAGGAGTAACTAATAACAATAATAATTAGTGTTATTTCATTTGCTATAATATTTAGTTGTCATTATTGCTTTTAGCAATAAGTGTAGATGTTGGTAAACTGTGTCATCCAACGTTTATATTATCCGAACCAGGCACAGGATAGACTTACCAATACACCTTCTTCTAACTCAATTGTGTGTTCTGGTGTCAATGTAAAAACAACCTCGTGTGCCAGGATCTTATCTGTGTCTAGCAATAAGTGAATTAGGCATTCTCCTGTCACTGCATTCCTCATAACCAAGGAAATGCAGAAAGCTGATGATGCAGGGAAATTCATACGAGAACCCTATTCATTTTAGGATGTAGTAGAGGTATATGAAGGCATACTGTTCTGACATGCTTGGTTTTTCTCCACAAGTTTGTTGAAATTCTTAATGCCTACAGTGTGTTCTGTCAGGGACAGAAACACCTTGTGATCTTCCCCACACGTCTTCTTCAATTTCACCAAGTTTTTGGTCTTGCAGAAATAATTTTCACAAGTGAATTCAGCAGAGTGATTGCTAGAAGGTGTTTCTCTAAAGTGGTGGTGATGATTTGGTTTCTGGGAAGAAGCTTCCATACCCAGCTTGTTTTCTCTTCTTGTAGAAGAAATTATTTTGAAATAAGATAGATAATGTCCCATTAAAAAGAGTTAACTTTAAGCATCATGATTGTTCGTGATTTATACAAGATAAACCACAATGAAAATTTCACCAGACTAGCTACACCTTGCCGTAAGTCAAATAATTGATATTGACATTTTATTTTTTTATGAGCTAGCAAGACAAAAAGAACTGAATGTTTCTTCAGTGAAAATTAAAGGAATAGTCTCACTATAATGAAGTTACTTAAATAAAAGGTAAAAATACCCCTGATCTAAATCCTGAGTGGATTTAAAGGGAATTAAAAGAAAGAAGCAAACCCAGAAAAGCTCAAATGAGCTGTGACCTTTATTTTATTTTTGTTTAAAGCCACTTATTTTTTGACTGGTTATATGTTTTTTAATATCTTCTGGTTAAGTTGCACCTTGTTTTTGTTCTGAAGCATTCTACTGTTCTTTGTCTGTATAGAGTAAGCAATTAATTCCATTATCAGTAGGGGAATTCAGCCTTATCAAGGTCATTGGCCAGGATTGTTTGACTGACTGTGTAGTGACTAATGACCTTTATGGGATCAATATTTCTGTTGGAAAAATTGGAAATCAGTATTTATGTTAGGATCCAGTTGGTAGCACTTCTAAGGAGTGACTGGCTTGTCTCATTCTTGATTGTTTGAGTTTTTTTCATAATGAAGAAATTAAATTTTTAAACTTTCTGGAACTAGTCTACTGACTATAGAATTTAAGGGCAATATTGCTTTTTGGTTTGGTGGTTTTTTTTGTTTCTTTGTTTTTTGTTCCCTGTAGCCAAACAGACCTGCAAAGCTTCTAGGGTAATTGCAGGCATGTATTTCTGATAGATCAGACTTTGCTTATTGGCTATTCCAGTAATATCCTTTTGTTCTGGAGTTGTATCGTGCTTTCCAGGTATTAAATATCCCAGGAACATCGCAGTGCTACCTATTTGGAAGGACTTTTACAATAGCTAGAGTAGAGCATCCAGCTGATTGCTTCAGATTTTTTTTTAAATTATTTTTTTCTGCCCAATTATTTTTAATGCAGGGATGTTGCTTTATGAAGTACACACACACACACAAAAATAAAAATAGAAGTAAACTGCTTTTCAAATACAACTACGGTAAGCGTCTCTGCATTTTATGCTTTGCAGTTTTTCTACGTTTCCTCTTCTGACACCCACTCTTAGCAGACATATGTCTACTTTCACTGCAGATCTCCACCCCTTATTTTCTGCAAGGCTTAATCATAGCAAATGCCACTTGTCTGTGTACTTCAGTCCTCACCAAGCTGCAAGCCTTTCTGACGTTCTACAACGGTGACATGATAATAAAACTTCACTGTCAACCGTGGAAAGATGCACAGAGTAAATTGCTCCATTGCCGTCAAATGATCCTGGCAAGATAAATCATGGGCGATGGATTTTCTAATGGCTGCCTTCTTAGCCTATTGGCAGTGTAGTTAAGAACGTGATTAACAGCGTTGTGAACTTGACTGACATCAGATAGCCTATGTCAGATGGTGGTATTAAAAAAAAAAGCACTTGTGGTAGGAGGGAACAGTATCAAGTATTGTGAAATAGCCTTAACGATAACAGACCTCAAAAAAAAAAAAAAAAAAAAAAAAGTGATCCTGCATAGATTTCTCTTTGTGATTTATTAGAGAAAAAATAAATTGAGGGCCACTGTCTTATGAATAGCCAGCTGATGTTACTGAATACTGGTTTTATAGCATAGACAAGTATCTTCTAATAAACAGGTCAAAAGCACTGAGCTTGTTTTACTTAAGACATTTACCCAACAGAAACAGCAGGTTTCCCCCAATATGCTCACATGATATCTACCCTTCTACTTGCCTTTCATCATGCTTCTCTTTCAACATAAGTGGTAGCCTGGGCATTAAAAACAGCCGGATAACAAACAACTCACAAAGTGGGATCTAAATGGTCATGAGAGAAACGACCCAGAACCTTGACTTGTTGCAGTGAGAAGGAACATCTCAACAGTGCCCACCACAACTCCTAGGGCTGGCGCTCCACCACGGCAATTGCTTTGCTGGGGTGTGTGCTGAGATAATGAGTCACAGGCACAGCACTTGTTAATGACAAACAGTGTGACAACTCCCTATGCACAGCTTTGAAAAACGTGTGCCATCTAGGGTATTGTTTATTGCTTCCCTAGCCAACCTGTGTCTGCAGCATGTCTGCCAAATAGCAGGCGTTGCAGATACAACTGGGCTAGAGGTGTCCCTGTGGGGGCAAGTTTCAGGCACATGGATAGGACCAATGGGGGTTATTTTGGCAATATTTTTCTTCCTCAAGTAGTAGATAAAAGAATTACTAGTGACCTGTAATGCAGCTACAGGCAGGAAAATGCCAAATAGTAAATACGAAGAACAGATTTGCGCAAAATCAGTAGTTTAACCGTGTCAGGTTTATTACTGTTAGACAGCAAAATTTTCATGTGGAAGACTAAAATTCTGTTGACGTGGAAAAGCTGTGTGAATTTGACGTGAATTCTTCGGAGTTTTTCTTCGGAAGGCTTTGAGGGGAGGAGAATAAAGAGAGAAGTCCCAGCTGTGTCCTCTTTGATTCAGAATTCCTGTGTGATTGTGCCATGGCAAAGTTGAGGTCACGTTTTGGAAAAAGATCTATAAATTGCAACTGTTTGTGTCCAAAGTTTTGATTCAAACCCATCTCTCCATTGAAGACTTCTGGGTTTTTCATACTTGTCAGGAGAGAGAGAAAAGAAATTCTCATCTCAGTATGTTAGCATAGGATGTCTGGGGATTATTGTGCATAAGCAGTGGCTCACTGAATGGAAATGTACTCTGTTGTGTACAGCGTGGAACAAGGGCAGTACTGGGAAAATTGCCGAGCTTCAAGTATGCTCAAACTCTTAAATTCTGGGCTAAACTAGGAGGTTCTGGTGATAGTAGTAATGCAGCAGGTGTTAGGGTGACTATGAAATAACACTGCAACACAGCATCAGCCCTCAAGAACAAGAGATGGAGGGATTAATTTGTAAAGAGCGACATCAATGGAAATTTGCATTGGGAAAGTTCACAACCTGATGCAAATAGGATCAATTTGTGCTGTGTGGCTCCATTGAAAATCTGTGCCTGAGGACAGATTTCGGCTCCTCCTCAATGTTCCTTGGCTGGCTGTAGCCTTCATTTTTTTCCAGGAACTGATAGCTATTGCATTTTCACAGCAGGTAAAAATGAGGTTTAACTCTGTGGTTTCTTTAGTGTGAAAAAAAGAAAAATGAAAACAAAAACAAAGTTAAAAACTTTTTTTGTATTGTTTTCTGTTTGTATTGTTTTGTTCTATGCTTTTAACCCTGCATTTTTAATTACAGATACCTAGTAGAGGAAATTAAAAAAAGAGAGGGATTTCAGCTCCTTTTGGAGGTAAGTGAAAGGGGAACTGAACTGCGGTTGTTATTGATGGGGAGTGTCTGTTTTTTGATTTTTGTTCTTTTTAGTCAATTACCAATTTGTATTTGAAGTAAATAATTTAATAAGTGTATGTATCCACAGATATAACTGAACACACAGAACATGCTCTGTATTCCCTGTTAGGATAGATGAAATACAAAACGAAAAAATATTTTACACTGTTCATACAACGTGAAAGCTGTTGAGAGCAGAGGCTGTTTAGTTCCTGCAGGAATGGGATGTCTGGATTAAAAGTGGGATTGAAGGAGTGCTGTAGTATGGACAATAGCACTTCCTGAGAAGGAAGTTGAGCAAGTTAAGAAAAAGTTTTCGGCAGTGCAGGGGGACGAGCAATGAGAAGTCAAAGAAAGACTACTGTCAGGGACCTGTGCCCAGTTCTGTGAGCCCTTTTCCTGAAAGTAAGTTGGCCTTCAGACAAAAAGCTTAGAGAGATGATTGTCTGATACAGGCAGTGAGGAAAAACCTGTAATGAGAATTGCTCTATGGCCTGGAAATGCCACTTGTGCTTGAGTCATCTTGAACTCTTTTGTGGTGTAAGTGCTTAGCTGCTTGGATAAGAGCTGTGACAAGATAACTAGAAATAGAGTGTGAAGCATGGCTGGGGGTATTTTTTTAGGATGAGTGGTATTTTCAGAGGGGGATGATGTATTTGATGTGTGAAAGGAAACTGAGATAATCAAGAAGGCAATATAGGCGATGGCAATATGGTAATATATGCCATCTGTCTGCTCCTGCCATCTGATTTTAAATAGTTTTAAAATAAACCCTGTAACAGCGAGCTAGTGCTTCTGAGGAAGGCACTGCCTTTTCAGTGTCTGTGTTTATGTGTGTACTCAATGCATGCTCTTTGGGGAAAGAAATGGGACTTTAAGAGCTGAGCTTTATTCCATTTGGTGGCAACACACGACAGGTTTGCAGCTCTGTTCCTGCTGACAATGATATTCTTCTTGATGATTAAATTGTATTTAATGCATTCTTTGAAGTGAAGTGGAAAATGATATGAGCAGCTCTCAGTGCCCTTTCATGAAAGAACATGTCTCAGCTGGTGGGCTCTACTCGTTCAGGAGACTGCCTGGGATTATAATAGCAGCCACATTCACAGTGGGGTAAAGAGATGGTGTGACTCAGCTACCAAGCTCTCTTTTAACTGTTGTTTTTTTTTTTTTTTTTTTTTTTTTTTTTTTTTTTTTTTTTTTTTTTTTTGTTTTTTTTGTTTTTTTTTTTCCCTTTCAACTAGTACCAATGAGGATGGCATGTGGGAGAGGAGAGGGGTGTGTGAGATCATAATCCATATTATAATTTAGATGCCAGTTGAATACTGAGTTGCAAATAGTGTAGGTCAAGATTGATGTAGTGGTTTTATGAGTTGTGTTGAATGGGATTAGAAGGCATATATATTCCTCATACTATTGCTCTCTGTACACATAAAATAATACAATTTTTTCCATATTAGCAGGAAATGTATAGAGATCCCAGACTAGTCTGCTGAGAATGTTTTCTCTATCATATATGACACAGAAATCTCATAAGCACAAAACGCCTTATTTTATAATGCATGCTGAGGAGATGCTTCTGTTGTGAGCCTTGCAGATAACTCTCTGCTGAGTTTAAAGGCAAAACTTCTCTAGAGGGAAACAGAAATGCAGAGTCTCAGCCTAAGACCTGCTTAGATATTGGACAAGATACATTCAGGATATGGCACATACCCTGCAAAGGGTCCTGAGAGTCTTATAAAATGTGGAAATATAGAAAATCATTAAGTCTAGCACTGTATAATGTGCTCTATGATACAAAGGAGATTGGCATTGTTCAGTAGAAAAATTACTAGGTGTGCAAGTGTTAAATGGTGACAAAAATTAAACTTATGTGTTTTGTGTGGAAGGCATCCTAGGAAATTTCCATCAAAAAAGCCCAAAACACTAGAAAAAAAAAAGTGTTAAAGGTTGCTTCAAATTTGAATTCTGTAAATTTCCCTTCTATGCCTCTCTTATACTTTTCCAAACCAAAATTTTTTTGTGAGCAAAACAAAGTGTGGATGTAGGAAGATAAAATTAAAACCCCAACAGGTTTCCTTTTTCTGGCAGCAGGAACAGAAAGGGATGATAAGAAAACTATTTCTAGTTTCAAAAAAAGGAAACAAAAGGTGATCTGGAGAAGGAAGTTCCAATGAAAAGGATATAAACTCCAAGGCTTCTCCCCCTAACCCCTCTCCCAAAAAATAGAGCAGAACTCTTTGACAGGCTGTAATACATATCCCTGTCCCATTTGTTACATCTTATAAGCGATCACTTGTTCTCTTGTTTAGCCGGAGTATGCAAACGTTTGCTTTTGGTACATTCCACCAAGCTTAAGACAAATGGAGGATGGACCTGAGTTTTGGCAAAAGCTGCACCAGGTGAGTGTCACGTGTTACCTGAGACTTACTGATTTATCTGTGTGCCAGATAATTATGTGAATTAGCCTTTGGCTTTGCTTACCTTTATAACCTATTAGTAGAATGGGGATTTAATCCCTAACTAGATATTCATAGGATTTAAGTTTTTTCTCCTTTTAGACAAAGCTAATTATTTTTTTTCCTAATGTAAGAAGTGTAGGCATTAACAAGTATTCAGCTCACTATCAAAGCTGTTAGCAGCTGGCAGAACTGAGAGAAGAGGAACAGCATTGTGTCTGCATCTCTTGTCTAGACAGATTATTCATTACCTGTTTCATATACTTAGCGCTCTGCTTGGAACTTGGCTCGCATTATCCGTGATAATCTATGATAATGCAAACGAAGAAGTGCTTAAGAATATATTTCTGATGTTAAACATAAATGACAACAGGAATACAATGGGAAAATACAGTGGGAAAAACTTCACTAATGAGTGTTTTGGTAACTCTTTGCCATCCTGATAGGAAATCATGAACATCTTGAAAAAAAAGCAGCAATAAAATTTTGAAGTTACTAGTGGGGAACTCATTAGTTAAGACTTAATTAAGAAGCCACCAGACATTGTGGTATTATGTTTTACTGAATAAGCTATTCTGTGAGGAATTGAATTTAATTCATTGTTTGCTTATCTCTGGAAGAGCTTTGGTGTTCTGCATTTATTTTTTCCTAGAGTTTGCTCCTAGAAATTTTTACTAGAACACAGATGTGTATACTTTATGCATGCTTGCATATGGTATGCCTGTTATGCATACAGGCTATACATACTATATATACATGCATGCTTCCTGTAACATCTGCTCTCAGCAGCTTCCACCGGGATTGCTTTCAATTTGCGCTGGAGGCTGGTGTCTTTTAAGGGAGGGGTCTTCCTTAAACCTGTCTGTATTGTTTTGGAAAGTATACTTTTGCAGTACAAAGGTGTGCATGGCTGCAGTGTGGATGCAAGGGCTTTGCATTTGCCGTGCTTTTGCAAAGCACAGATGGGTTATGATCCTTTCATATGGGGCTTCCCTTCCTCTCATTAGAATGGAAGGCCAATGTCTACATACACACACAGAGCTGGATAACAGCTCTTCTACCCGTGGAGGAGTGTGGATTTGGAAAGGAGCAATGGCAAAGCATAGAAGAAATAATGCTGCAGCACTGTTTGATTTTTGTATGCTATAGAGGGGACCAAAGAGGGAAGGGATGAAGCACAACAAATGGCTTTGATCATGTACATTTGAGTAGCTTTTTGAGTGTAACTTACTCGTTCTTCACTCTGTTGCTCTGTGGTTCTTCCAGTCAGGGTAGGCAATAGATGCCTGGCTTTATTTCATGTACTAATATAGATAGACCGATGCTAGAAATGCAGATTTCCTATCCAGTGTTTTGTGGAAGAGAACTTGGAGGGAAGCAAACTTGAGTGCAATGTCTCTGAAGGACTGAATGCTGCTGCAGATCTCAACCACTCTTTTTGGCAAGGTGACATTTTCTTGATTCTTTTATCTCTTCTGATGAAACACGGAGAAACCTCAAATCCTGAAACATAACCTATTTCACTCTTCCCCACAAAAGCCTAGGAAAAAAAATCTACCATGAAACAGACCAAAATTCCCTAGCAAAGCAGAGTACTGAATGGCACAAATTTCTCTCCCAGGGCAAACAACAAATGATGATTGTTAGTTGTGTTATTTTAGACACTGCTGGGAAGTAGTTTGACACTGCAGAAGTGAGCCTGTTTCGCAACTAAAACATGTTATTTCACCTTCCCGATTCTCTGCAGGGATAGGTCTGGGGTTTACCTTGCTCTTTGAATGTTGAGGGCCAGTTTTAGGCCACAAGATATATCAATGAGCAGATGGAAAGGCAGCAGCAGGTCACAAAAAATAAGACTGACTTGACTTCTCCAGCTAACATCAATTAGTTATAACATTGCTGATGCAAACAACATAGGCTTTATATTACATTAATCAATACAGATATATTGCTGGACAAGAGGGAGTGCATCCTCATCAGCAAGGTGTAAATGATAAGAGGATTAAGGATGGAGAGGTTGTTACACGATGCCATTGATGGAAAGATGGGGGTGTGACAGTTTCTTGGTTGCAAGCGCTTCCTGAATATTCCCTTCATTTCACTAAAATAAGCTATTCACAATTTGTCTTTTCACACCACATTTTAATGTCACAGTTATTCTGTTTATCCAGAAATCAATCTTCCTTTTTGTTGATCTGCATATCTGACAACAATTAAGGAAATATAAGTCTTAAAAATCCCTACAGCACGTAATTGATTTAGTTCAACTACTTGTTCAGCAGTATTGTTCAGGATAACATGCTGTCTTCTAAGGTTAGTTGTGAGCTTAATGCTGGTGGAAGTTGATAAGCAAATTGTTCTGATTTCAACTCCTCAGCTTCATGAAGAATTTGCACAGTCCTATGCAAAATAACCCTGAAGGTTTTGTGCTGTACTGACTCTTCTCCAGTTTCCATGCCCACTTTATGTGGTAATGTGTAAGATGTGTCAGGACTGACTGGATCAGGGCATGATACCTAATTCTGATGCCAGTCTTCTCGCGGTCCTACATAAAAAGTGTAGGGGGGTGTTTTTTTTTTTTTTTTTTTTTTTTTTTTTTTTTCTGATGGGCTGTTTATGTTTAGTTCTGTGACCTGACCTTGAACTTCAGGCATAAAATTTTCACTCTTTTGAGTCTCCTACATTCAAAACAGGAAGGTGGTAGGAAATAGGGGTCTGAAGGATTTGGAACAACCACTAGCTGGTTATTTGACTTATCACCTGGACACTTAATGGAACGCGAATTAACATCGAGGTGGGAAAAGTAAAGAACAGCATAAATAGTACATTACTCTGTTACCCAGTGAAACTGGGAATTCTGTGCACATCCACAGAACATCTGATACCACTTTGACCTTTTAGGATTACAGCAGGAAGTGACTGTTTAGTGAAACGAGTTAAATAAACAGTAAAGCAAGGCTTTGGATGCAGTTCAGTGGTCCAAGACAGTCCACGCTCTGAGCTTTTAGCAGTACACTGAGGGCACAGCAGATAAAATAACGCATAAACGATCCGACCATGTAAGGTGTTTCTCAGTGCCGTTCCTCACAAGTGAGGAGGGATTTCTCCTTGTAGAAACTGTACAAACGGGCCCTCTGTGGTAACTGAGGAGTTGCTGTTAGATCCAACTGGAAATATCTGTAAGCGGTGTTATTTTGTCATTGCAGTCTGGGGGCGGTTGTCTCTGACCTAGAACTGACACAGCTGACAGGATGAAGGAGCGATGGCTTTGCTAGTGCTGGATGCGCCCCCCAGTGGGAGTTTCGCTCCTGTTCCTCTGGTGACGCTGAAGCATTTACTTTGTTTCCTGCTGAAAATGGTCAGTGTGTCGCAGGGTCACGGTGAGAAGAGTGGAACTGGAAATTACAAGCCAGAAATGGAAGTGAGGGAAGAAATAAAAAAAAAGCAAGCGGATAGCATTCTGATTTTCGTATTTCTTTCATACCTATAGGTATCCATGCATATTCTTTCTTGTAATAATCTCCTCTTTAGAAAAGTCAGCTTTCTCGGCTTATGCTGGAGTGTCTGCAGATGATGTAGAATTAGCTGATTGTTAGTAATACTGCCTCTGGAAAGGCTCCTGGCAGCACAGAGGGTGCTAGGGCACAAGGAAGAGTCTGGAGGGGTCCATCTGAGACTGTTCTATTGCCATCCTGTTGCTAAAACAGCCGGCCAGCCATGTCTTGAGCATTCTGGATCAGTTTATAGTCTGCTCAATCTCAGTGGGTCTGGGAGACATAGGAGTAACCATCTTAAACAGATCACTCTTCCTGCAGTAGCCTGGACCCCAGGGTACGATACCTATACAATACCTGTTGACCAAGCAAGGTTTGAATGGGAGGGAAAAACAAGACCTCCAATTGGTTACATTAGTAAAGTTTGCCTTCTATATTTTGGAAGAACAATAGGAAAAACTATAAAGGATCTTGGAGCATAACTGTAGGTAGAGTACTACATATTGAGTACTGCTCAATAAAGAAGGCTACTTGTATTTTGCTAAGTACCATGTTAGAAGACCTCAAGATCAGGGTTCAGAAGTGCCAGTAGGTTCCTAGTAAATCTTTTGTGATTTACTAAATTTTGCCTTGTCTTTAGTTCTAAAAAAAATGTGCTGGAGTATCAGATTTCCAGTGGTTCAGTGAAGCTTTTATATACAGTTGTTAGTTTCAGTTACTTAAAATTCCAGCACCTCAGTTTTAGACTCTACTTGTGTGGTGTGGTTGGTGTTTTTTGTTTTGTTTTGTTTCCTTCCTGCCCTTTTGAGGATTTTTTCCCATGTAATACAAAATTTATTGGCTGTAATAGAAGGCTCAAGATACAATGTCATACTAAATCATAGATAGCTTGGAATGTCATTTTTGCCCCTCCACCCTCCCCTTTAGTAAAAGGTAACCTTAGTCTGGCCTTTCCCTCCCACTTAAGAGAAAGCTGTCTGTTATGTGAAGGCATATTTGTAAAATAGCCTGTCATGCTGACTGGTGTTGTGATACATTTATATAATGACAGGTTTCATATCAAAGCATAAATGTGTGGAGGGTGAACAGGTGTTGCCTTGGCAACTTCTGAATCTTGTGGCCTTTGTGTTATAAATAAAAAACTAATCAAGGACCTGATTCAGTAGTATTTAGGCATTCAAAATACCTATTGATAAGGGTACAAGGTTTGAATGGGAAGGAAAAATAAGACCTCCAATTGGTTATATTAGTAAAGTTTCCCACATTTTGGAAGAACAAGAGGAAAAACGACATAGATTATAACCATGATACTAAATGCAGTGAGCCCAGGTTTATGCATAAGGAAGGTCCCAAGTATGTCACTGCAAGTGTATTTCCACTTGGAATTTGTGTGCAAAATGTTGTTTGATTTGGTGGCATCCCTGTGTGCTACACTTTGAGTTTTTCTTA